AAGTTCCCTGGTAGGTTTGGTATAATATCATCTCCATTTTATTTTTTTTGTTGTCACTCACCGTAACATGCATGGGAAAAGTTTTCCACTATATTAAGCTACTTATATTTAATAATTTTTTTTGTCTATACAATAATCAAACACAATAAATATTTAGGGTTTAGGGTTTTCCCCATTGTATTGTTGTTTAGTGCCTGACCCCAATCATCCATGTTTACTTTTGTGGATTTCTGTATTACTCCAATGAGTTTATCGCATTCTGCTGCAGGGCTACAAATAAGAAAGGACCTGGTAGTAAAATTGAAAGATTTCCTAGACCTTGTAAACCTGATTCAGAAGGTGAGAAAAGCACCTTAATATTGTTGAATTGTGCGCAATCATCACATCATCAGGCAATTCCTCACCAGAGTCACCGCCAATGTTAATTTTCAACAATCATTTGTAGAATCTGGGTACATACTTAGTTTTATGGTTGCACCTATTATCATGCTAGCATAACATATTTGATATGCTAATTAATTAGTTCATTCTAAGTACTTCAGTGTAGTATATGAATATGAGAATATACTCCTTTCCTTCATACTGCTTTTCAGTGTTCTAAATTCTGCTTATTTCCCTTCTCCATTTTAGTCAGCTCAAGGAAGGGAGAGAAACTTAAGGATCAGAAACCTTCCATATGTACTCTCTGTGATCCAGAATGTCAACCAGGTTGGGTCACTTTTAATGTTAACTATTGATCATTGGTCACAGGCATTAATTGTTTCACCCCTGTGGCACCAGGACTCATGGATAGATTATTATTAGAGCGGAAGTCTTTATGTTCTGGGCGGCCGAGTTATCCTTATTTTGGTGAGTTGTTGCTTGCAGTTTTCCTGACCATCATTATACATGGGGTCATCAATCACTTAACTATGTTGCAAAATTTAGGCGTTCCTACAAAAAAGGAGCTGAGGTCCAATGGTTATCCCCTCCCAGTTTGGCAGAATGGTGAGTTCATTCGTGTCCTTTTGATATTTACTCTTTTCTGTTGGAACATCTGTCATCTGACAGGTCTCTCCAGCTCCCCTCCACTACTGAATCTTTATTGCTTTTGCCAGTGGGCATGCGTTTGCTTAACAATTTTGAAGAGAAATTTAGTGAAGATATCTGGAGTAAACTCGAAAGAAACGTTGCTTCAAATATGTCTCAAAGTGTTGTTGCATTGGCTTCATTCAGTGGTAATTATATTCATTATAAGCTCGTTACTTTCAATATTCTTTTTCCAATTTCTTCACTAAATTATCAGAGTCATTACTCTTGTAGGAAAAACAAGGTGTTTTGCTTGCACTGGTGTATTCATAGACTGCAATGGGTCCACCACAAGAGTTCTGACCTCCGCAAGTTTGGTTAGAACTTCTGACAATGAAAACAAGGTTGCTGATAACCTTAAGGTTGTTACTCTGCTAATAATTGTTTAATTGCCCCTTCCACTTATTCATGATATCACTGGTTTAGTCTTACCATATCATTAATTGCAGATTGTAGTGTGCCTTCCAGATAATCGTCATACCAGAGGGACATTGCAACATTACAGTCTACATTATAACATTGCCGTAGTCTACATCAAGAATTTCTGCTGTACTCAGACAGCACAAATCGATAACCAGATGCTAATTAAACCTCAAAAGGAGGTAGTAGCTATAGGGCGCGTCTACCAATCAGGCAAATTAATGGCCACAAGTGGGATCGTGATTGACAAACCAAGTAAGCTTGGCTGCAAAGAGCTTAAGATTTCCACCTGTAAAATCACCAAGGTACGCTGTGTCTTTTCGTGTGGTGGAAATAAATAGTTGCATCAGAATGAGTAATTAAATTCATCATCACATCTGTATGGCTTACAAATACTGTCTTTTCCTATTCGTTACTTTTTTTGTGTGTGCTAGGCTGGGATTGGAGGGCCTCTTATTGATTTTGATGGAAATTTTATTGGCATGAACTTCTATGGCTTGGAAGAGGCTCCATACATACCAGTGAATATAATTCTGAAAGTCTTGAAGAATTTTGATGCACAAGGGTATGCTTTCTATATTTATGTATTTTTTTGTACAGTATGCAGGTGTCTTGACTCTTGCATGTGCATAATATTCAATCTTGAGGAGGTTTAGTAGCCTCGATAGGACTTTTGTTACCATGTTGATCTTATACTGAGCGCATTAATTTGTTGCTTCTGTTTAGGACCCAGTTGTATTTTTTCTTTCTTTTCCACTTTTGTTTCATCT